AAACAAACTCGAAATCAATTCGTTAAGCTTATGGAACGAATTTGAATCACCTTTTTTTAAATCCGGTTTCAAATAATTTAGACTTAACTCATTTACAACCATCATTCCCAATCTTAAGATTTGAGTGCAAGATTTTATGATAGAAATCATAAGTATTAAATGCGATTTTTTTTTTTTTTTTTTTTTTTTTTTTTATTTACAAGTGATTTGTTTGTGATGTTTATTATTTCATGTGAACACTGAGGATGGTCCCGACAGCATTATAAGAGAAGCAGTTGTCGTATAGTTATCGAAAGGGCATATTGGACAAGCTATGGCGGATTCGACCCTCTTTAAGGAAAGCTATGATTGCCTTCACTAAAACAAAATGGCCTAACTTCTCTCTTCACACATTTCACACAATAAGCCAAAAAAGAATATTTACACATACAGTCATTTATTTAAATACAAAATATCTTTATTTTTTGCATGTCCAATAAATTATCTGACATTCACTGGAAATAATATAATTTTCAAAATACATTTCGGGTTTATTTTCCAAAGGAGAAAAAAGGTTACAATGGCTGACAAAACCACATAGTACACAAAAAGAACCGGTCCCAAGTGTGGTCACATTACTCCTGAACTGGACCTTGCATATAATGTACATCTCCTTTTGGGAAGCCATGCTATATACACTTTTTATGAGCTTTTCTTGGACCAGGCGGAAGAGAAAGTACCTAGAGCCATCAATGGCTCCTTTAATGTCGTCAATTGGAGCGATTGATCACTATAATGTATAATATCTTAGGCGGGCTTGGTTCAAGATCACGTAAATACAACTTATAGAGGAAATTATTTTTTTGAAAATATAGTTCAAATATGTATTGTATGTCAAATTTTAGGTAAATTATAACTATATTAATAGAATGATATTACACACTAGACATAGTCTAGTAATAAGTGCATGTATGAATTGCGCAATGATCTGTATTCGAATAACCCAATATGTAAAAAAAAATGATATGTAGGATTTTCCTAATACGTTATTATAATAGTAGAAGTTAAATATTATTTAGCCAAAATAGTGATAATAGGTTATTTTATTATGGAGGTATAATTTCCTTAACTCCCTTGATCCTTGAAGAAGACTTATAACAATTTGAAGAAAGTCGACACTTTAATTTTATGAGAATTTCTTCCAATTAAATAAGTTGTCAGTTATTAATTTCTGAAAAACTTCAGTTCCCTATCTTAATTGGTCAAAACAAAAGAGACCTTATTGTCCTGTAATTTTAAAAATAATTGCATGTATACATAGTTTCTTTATTAGAAAAAATTATAGTATCAATTTTCTTAACTTATATTTGGTAAAACTTTCATCAATTAGGTGTATTACCGGATTACGTAGATTTATGAGTCTCACTTTATTTTATTCCTTATGTCTAAATCTATAGTGATTGTGTTTTTTTTCTTTTTCTATTCCTAACAACTATTTGGAAGAAAGAAAAACTCCTAGCTATAATTTTAAGATTTGTCTTTGCAATTTTCTAATCTTGGTCATAATGGTGATTTAAGAAACCGAAGAAAAAGCTCAATCATAAGATTTTGGACTTGAAGCACATTCAATGGGTTTCCAAACAATAGGTTTCTACGTGGATGGGCTTAAAAAAAGGTATCAATGAAAAAATTGTTTAGTTGAAATCAAACCCCATGGGGTCAAAAAATAAAAAAAAACTTATTCTTTAGAGGTGTAATTTCAAGTCGTATATGGTATGAAATAAATAATCCTCGTTTTTATTTATAATTCATTCCAAACTTATTTTTTGGAAATTAAAAATTCCATTCCATATTCCATTTTAAAATTCCATTCCATATCATTTCATTGAGTAATTTAAAATTTTTTGACTATTAATATAAATCTAGCCTATTATGATACATATTAAGGTATAAATTTTTTAAATTTAATAAGGAATAGGAAATTAAATATAAAATACTAAGAAAAATAATTAAATTGCAATAAAATAACAAATTAATATCTCATATAACTAAAAATTTAAGTTCATTGATGAGAAATGGTGCATGTTTTAGTTGATAATCTTCTATTAATTAGTAATCAAGTAATAATAAATATGTAAATCAAGAAGTCTAGACCATCATGGAATGGATATAATAGAACCTAACAATATAAACTTACATAGAAAAATAAGAATATAAAAAAAACATAAATTAGACGAAGGGAATAATTCATACAAGATATTTGTAAAAGTTTTGATTAAGAGTTTATCATTAAAAATGAAATTTTCTTATAAGCGCAACAAAAGACAAGGGTAATATTTTTTCTTGATTACTACACAACTTCAAGCGCAACAAAAGACAAGGGTAATCCAAAATTAGTTGTACCTTTCACATAGCAAAGTATCCTCTTAGCAGCATTCCAATGTAACATTGTTGGTGCTTCCATATATCTGCTCACTAGCCCAACTGTCTGCTCACTAGCCCAACTGCATACAAAATATCTGGCCTTGTGCACGTCAGGTATCTAAGACTCCCGATCAGACTTCGAAAAATTGTCGGGTTCACTCTTTCTCCATCTTCATCCTTGGTCAATTTTAAGCTGCATTCAACAGGAGTGCTAACAGGATTGCAATTCTCCATCTTGAATTTCTTCAAGATCTCCTTAGTAAAACCATTCTGAGAAATAAAGATGCCACCTTCGCTTTGCTTTACTTCAATACCAAGATAGTATAACAATAGGCCAATGTCAGTCATCTCAAATTCACAAGCCATCGTCTTCTTGAAATCATCAAATATTTGAGGATTGTTCCCGGTGAAAATAAGATCATCCACGTATAAGCAAACAAGCATCATGTCTCCATTTTTCTCCTTCATATACAAAGCATATTCATGGGGGCATTTGACAAATCCATTCTCTTGAAAGTACTTGTCAATAGTACTTGTCAATACGGTTGTTCTAAGCTCTTGGTGCTTGCTTGAGTCCGTACAATGCCTTCTTCAGTTTAAACACTTTTTCTTCAAGGCCTTTGACAATGTATCTTGGCGGTTGCTGAACATAAATTTCTTCCTCCAAGTATCCATTCAGAAAAGCAGACTTAACATCCATTTGATGAATCTTCCATCGATTTTGAGCAGCAACTTAGATCACCAGTCTGACAGTCCCCATTCTTGCAACTGGTGCAAAAACTTCATCATAGTCAATACCGTGTTTTTGACTATATCCATTTGAAACCAATCTTGCCTTGTGTCTTACAATCTCTCCTTGTGCATCTTTTTTTGCCTTGAACACCCACACCCATTTAACACCAATGGGTCTTTTATCAGCTGGAAGTTTAGTCAACTCCCATGTCTCATTCTTCTCGATTGCTTAGATCTCCTCCTCCATGGCTTTTCTCCGTCTCTCATCTCTCATGGCTTCTTCAACATCAAAAGGCTCATTATCAATAAGATGACAGTAAAGAGTTGATTCTTCACTGAGATCTCTTGTGGCTTCATAGAGATCTACCAAACGTCTCAACTTTTTTTGCCTTTGTCTAGGACTTTCTCTTTGCGCGTCATCTTTTGCTCCAGGAGATGCACTTGAAATAGGATTATCTATCGTCGGTGTTGTGGTTGGATCCTCCAAATCATGATCATTGTTTTCATCCATGGTGAAAGGATAAAAACTATAATTCTTCTTTTTATCATTGTTCCACTCCTAGATTGCTTCTTCATCGATAGTGACGTCTCTACTGATGATTATTTTTCCTGTATCAGGATCAAACATCTTATAACCTTTAGAAAATTCTGAATATCCCACGAACAAGTATTTTTTGCTTTTATGATCAAGTTTTCTCCTTTCTTCATCATGTACATGAACATGAGCAATGCCTCCAAAAACACGAAAATGAGAGATATTGGCCTTTCTCCCACTCCATGCTTCTTGGGGTGTCATATCTGAAACACATATTGTTGGAGATCGGTTCAAGATGTAGACGTTCAAGATGTAGACAGCACAATCAACTACTTCTGCAAACAGCTCGTTAGGCAAATTCTTGCTTTTCAACATGCTTCTGACCATGTCTAGCACCGTTCTATTCTTTCTTTCAACAACACCATTTTGCTGAGGCGATCTTAGGACTGATAGGAAACGGCGGATTCCACGCTCCTCGCAGAATCTTTTGAATTCATTAGATGTGAATTCTCCCCCTCTATCGGATCTTAAGGCTTTAATGTAATAATCGCTTTCTTTCTCAACAAGTGCTTTGAACTTCTTGAAAGCTCTAAAAACTTCTGATTTTTCCTTTAAAAAATAACGTTAAAAGCTCTAACAACAACATTAATTATATTGGAATATAAAAGATAAAATAATTAAACTTAATTAAATAAAATAGAAGAGGAGAAGAAGACACGTATCCAAGACAAAGCTCACATGGAAGTGGAAGTTTGGACAAATTCACATGGTAATGTTTTTCTCATAATTGTTTTGTATGTGTTGGCAAAATAATTCAGAGGGAAACTATGGACATAATGCATCCACGTAATTGGTTGCAAATTTATGGCAAATAAGATGTTTAGATGGAACATGTGGGAGGAAACAAAAGATTATATTTGTGGCGTGCATTCTATTTCAAGCCCTATAAATATTGGCAGAAACTTGTATTCTTATGAGTGAAATATAGAATAAAAGTGTAGTATTTTCAGAAGTAATATTCATTTTCATTGAGTGTTATGCTTATGATTTTTTTGTTTAATTTAAATTCCTAATTAGCCCAAAAAAGTGGTGTCAGATGCCACATTTTTTTTGTTTAATTAAAGTCCTAATTAGCCCAAAAAAGTGGTGTCAGAGCCACATTAAAAGCCTAATTAGTGAGAGGCGTGAGTTTTTTTTTATTCCTCCCAAAAAAAAAATTCATACTTTTGAGTGTTTGAGAGATTTTATCAAATAAAAGATGAATAGCAACGGTATCTCCCACATTTTTCCTCAGCTCACCAAAACCAATTACGAAAATTGGTGTATCAAAATGAAAGCCATTCTTGGTGCCCAAGATATTTGGGACATTGTTGAAAAAGGTTACGTAGTCCCGGCTGAAGATGCACAACTGTCTCAGGTAGAAAAAGACAGTTTGCATAAAAGTCGCAAGAGTGACTAGAAGGTACTCAGTCTAATCCATAAAGGATTGGATGATGTAACGTTTAAGAAGGTGGCAGAAGCTACCACCTCTAAGCAAGCTTGGGACATACTACCAATTTGTCTTCAAGGAGAGCAGAAAGTACAAAAAGTTCGACTTCAAATGTTAAGAGGTGAGTTCGAGATGATGAAGATGAAGGAGGCGGAAGTAATTACGGATTACTCCTCACGAGTAAAATCTGTCGTTAATCAAATGCAGCAGTATGGAGAAAAAATTGATGAATCGAGAATTGTCGAAAAAATTCTACGATCACTACTATCAAAGTTTGACTACATAGTGGTGGCTATGGAAGAATCGCGAGATATAAGTGCAATGACCGTTGACGAAGTTATTGGTTCATTGCAAGCACGTGAGGAGAGGCTAAACAGACAAAAAGAAAAGTCTGTAGAACAAGTCTTGGCGGCAAAGACTTCATTCAAAGAAAATGAAAATCATCAAGATGTCAATCAATCTAGAAGAGGACGTGGTAGAGGTCGTGGAGGAAGCAAAAGAGGAAGAGGACGTGGCAAAAGTCAACAATTCAGAAGAGGTAACAACAATGATGGAAATACCCGGTTCACAAGAGGCAGAGGTCGTGGACGAGGAAGAGGAAATTGGAGGCAAAATGATGGACGTGACAAGTCAAATGTTCAATGTTACAATTGCTCCAAATTTGGCCACTACGCATCAGAATATTGGAGTCCGCCTAAGCAAGTAGAGGAAACAGCTAACAACATTCAAGATGAGGATGTAACCGGCACGGTATTACTAACCCGTGAAGGTGAACAAAGTCCAGAAAATAACATATGGTATCTTGACAATGGTGCAAGTAATCATATGTGCGGAGATAAGAAAATGTTTGTTGAGTTGGACCAGAAAATAATCGAAAGTTGTTGCTGTTGAATGAAAAGAAGGAGTTGCTAGCAAATGTACCAATGTCAAAGAATAGGATGTTCACTCTCAACATCCAGATAGACGTAGCCAAGTGTTTAAAGTCTTGTGTGAAGGATTCTCATTGGCTTTGGCATCTAAGGTTTGGACATCTAAACTTTAGAGGGCTAAAGTTGTTGAGTCAAAAGAAGATGGTGCAAGGTCTTCCCTCTATTGACAAACCCCATCAACTTTGTGAAGGTTGTCTAATTGGAAAATAATCCAGAACCAGTTTTCCAAAGGAATCCATGTCAAGAGCAAAGACGCCACTCGAGCTCCTTCATGCCGATGTTTGTGGACCAATGACTCCAACGTCATTGGGAGGCAATAAATATTTCTTGCTTTTCATTGATGACTATAGTAGAAAGACGTGGGGTTATTTTTTAAAGGAAAAATCAGAAGTTTTTAGAGCTTTCTAGAAGTTCAAAGCACTTGTTGAGAAAGAAAGCGATTATTACATCAAAGCCTTAAGATTCGATAGAGGGGGAGAATTCACATCCAATGAATTCAAAAGATTCTGCGAGGAGCATGGAATCCGCCATTTCCTATCAGTCCCGAGATCGCCTCAGCAAAATGGTGTTGTTGAAAGAAAGAAGAGAACGGTGCTAGACATGGTCAGAAGCATGTTGAAAAGCAAGAATTTGCCCAAGGAGCTGTAGGCAGAAGCAGTTGATTGTGCTGTCTACATCTTTAACCGATCTCCAACAATAAATGTTTCAGATCTGACGCCCCAAGAAGCATGGAGTGGGAGAAAGCCTAATATCTCTCATTTTTGTGTTTTTGGAAGCATTGCTCAAGTTCATGTACATGATGAAGAAAGGAGAAAACTTGACGACAAAAGCAAAAAATACTTGTTTGTGTTTGTGGGATATTTAGAATTTTCTAAAGGTTATAAGATTTTTTATCCCAATACAGGAAAAATTATCATCAATAGAGACGTCACTATCGATGAAGAAGCAATTTGGGAATGGAACAATGATAAAAAGAAGAATTATAGTTTTTATCCTTTCACCATGGATGAAAACAATGATCATGATTTGGAGGATCCAACCACAACACCGACGATAGATAATCCTATTTCAAGTGCATCTCTTGGAGCAGAAGATGAAGCGCAAAGTGAAAGTCCTAGACAAAGGCCAAAAAAGCTAAGATGTTTGGTAGATCTCTATGAAGCCACAAGAGATCTCAGTGAAGAATCAACTCTTTACTATCATCTTATTGATAGTGAGACTTTTGATGTTGAAGAAGCCATGAGAGATGAGAGATGGAGAAAAGCCATGGAGGAGGAGATCCAAGCAATTGAGAAGAATGAGGCATGGGAGTTGACTAAACTTCCAGCTGATAAAAGACCCATTGGTGTTAAATGGGTGTTCAAGGCAAAAAAAGATGCACAATGAGAGATTGTAAGACACAAGGCAAGATTGGTTCATGGGAGTTGACTAAACTTCCAGCTGATAAAAGACCCATTGGTGTTAAATGGGTGTTCAAGGCAAAAAAAGATGCACAAGGAGAGATTGTAAGACACAAGGCAAGATTGGTTTCAAATGGATATAGTCAAAAACACGGTATTGACTATGATGAAGTTTTTGCACCAGTTGCAAGAATGGAGACCATCAGACTAGTGATCTCAGTTGCTGCTCAAAATGGAAGATTCATCAAATGGATGTTAAGTCTGCCTTTCTGAATGGATACTTGGAGGAAGAAATTTATGTTCAGCAACCGCCAAGATACATTGTCAAAGGCCTTGAAGAAAAAGTGCTTAAACTGAAGAAGGCATTGTACGGACTCAAGCAAGTACCAAGAGCTTGGAACAACCGTATTGACAAGTACTTTCAAGATGACAAGTACTCTTTTATTGACAAGTACTTTCAAGAGAATGGATTTGTCAAATGCCCCCATGAATATGCTTTGTATGTGAAGGAGAAAAATGGAGACATGATGCTTGTTTGCTTATACGTGGATGATCTTATTTTCACCGGGAACAATCCTCAAATGTTTGATGATTTCAAGAAGACGATGGCTCGTGAATTTGAGATGACTGACATTGGCCTAATGTCATACTATCTTGGTATTTAAGTAAAGCAAAGCGAAGGTGGCATCATTATTTCTCAGAATGGTTTTACTAAGGAGATCTTGAAGAAATTCAAGATGGAGAATTGCAATCCTGTTAGCACTCCTGTTGAATGCAGTTTAAAATTGACCAAGGATGAAGATGGAGAAAGAGTGAACCCGACAATTTTTCGAAGTCTGATCGGGAGTCTCAGATACCTGACGTGCACAAGGCCAGATATTTTGTATGCAGTTGGGCTAGTGAGCAGATATATGGAAGAACCAACAATGTTACATTGGAATGCTGCTAAGAGGATACTTTGCTATGTGAAAGGTACAACTAATTTTGGATCTTTGCTATGTGAAAGGTACAACTAATTTTGGATTACATTATTCAAAATCTCACAAGTTCAAATTAGTTGGGTACAATGATAGTGATTGGGCCGGTGATAAAGATGATCGAAAAAGCACTAGCGGATTTGTATTTTTTCTTGGTAACACAGCGTTCACTTGGAGTTCAAAGAAGCAACCTATCATCACATTGTCAACCTGTGAAGCTGAATATGTTGCTGCAACCTCATGTGTGTGTCATGCAATATGGCTATAAAGATTGTTGAAGGAATTTCATATGACACAACATGATCCAACAGATATTTTTGTTGATAATAAATCAGCGTTGGCATTAGCAAAAAATCCAGTCTTTCATGATCGAAGCAAGCATATCGACATAAGGTTTCATTTTATCAAAGAGTGCATTGAGCACAAAGAAGTCACATTGAAGTATGTGAGAACGCAAGATCAAGTTGTTGACATTTTCACGAAGCCGCTCAAATATGACGTGTTCAACCAATTGGGAGCATTGTTGGGAGTAACAGATAATTAAGTTTACGGGGGAGTATTGGAATATAAAAATTAAAATAATTAAACTTAATTAAATAAAATAGAAGAGGAGAAGAAGAGACGTATCCAAAACAAAGCTCACATGGAAGTTTGGACAAATTCACATGGTAATGTTTTTCTCATAATTATTTTGTATCTGTTGGCAAAATAATTCAAAAGGAAACTATGGACATGATGCATCCACGTAAATGGTTGAAAATTTGTAGCAAATAAGATGTTTAGTTGGAACATGTGGCAGGAAACAAAAGATTATATTTGTGGTGTGCATTCTATTTCAAGCCCTATAAATATTGGCAGAAACTTGTATTCCATATATGAGTGAAATATAGAATAAAAGTGTAATATTTTCAGAAGTAATATTAATTTTCATTGTATTCAAGCCCTATTTAAATATTGGCAGAAAGAACTTGTATTCCCATATATGGAGTGTAAATATATAGAAATTAAAGTGTAAGTATATATTTCAGATAAGTAATATTAATTTCATTGTAGTGTTGTACTTTCATGAGGAGAGGGAATTTTTTTTTTTTTAATTAAAAGTCCTAATTAGTCCCAACCTGATTAGTTTGCGTATCAGAGGGCGTATGGATCTGTGTTTTCAGAAGTAATATTAATTTTCATTGAGTGTTGTACTTATGATTTTTTTTTTTTTAATTAAAGTCCTAATTAGTCCAACAAAGTGGTATCAGAGCGTATGGATTTGTACTAGTTGCTGTTAAATTTATAGCTCATCTAGTGAACCAGCAAGTGGCTCATGAGATTATTGCTCTAGAACTCCTTGCTGTTTTGCTCGAGAATCCCATTGATGACAGTGTTGAGGTAGCTGTGGTCTTTGTCACGGAGTGTGGATTCATACTCCAGGATGTGTCACCAAAAGGCCCTGATGGAGCTTTTGAACGATTTCGTGGAATTCTTCATGAGGGAGAAATTGACAAGCGGGTGCAATTTTTGATTGAAGGCCTGTTTGCCATTAGAAAAGCCAAATTTCAGGGGTATCCTGCGATTCATCCAGAGTTCGACCTTGTGGAGTTGGAAGACCAGCTAACACATGAGATATCGCTTCAAGAGGACATAGATCCTGAGATCAATCTTAATATCTTCAAACCAGATCCAAATTTCCTTGAGAATGAGAAACACTATAAAGAATTAAGGAAAAGCATCCTTGGTGAGGAGTCTGAGGATGAAGAAGGCTCTGATACCTCTTTGTTGGACTACTTAGGACTTTAATTAAACAAAAAAAAAAATCATAAGCACAACACTCAATGAAAATTAATATTACTTCTGAAAATACTACACATTTATTCTATATTTCACTCATATATGGAATACAAGTTTCTGCCAATATTATAGGGCTTGAAATAGAATGCACACTACAAATATAATCTTTTGTTTCCTGCCACATGTTCCAACTAAACATCTTATTTGCCATAAATTTTCAACCATTTACGTGGATGCATCATGTCTATAGTTTCCCTTTGAATTATTTTGCCAACACATACAAAACAATTATGAGAAAAACATTACCATGTGAATTTGTCCAAACTTCCATGTGAGCTTTGTCTTGGATACGTGTCTTCTTCTCCTCTTTGTTGGACTAATTAGGACTTTAATTTTAAAAAAAAAATCATAAGCATAACACTCAATGAAAATTAATATTACTTTTGAAAATACTACACTTTTATTCTATATTTCACTCATATATGGAATACAATCATTATATGTAATACAAGTTCTGCCAATATTTATGAGGGGCTTGGAAATAGAAATGCACACACCACAAATATTATCTTTTGTTTCCTTGCCAGTGTTTCCAAATCTAAACATCTTATTTTGCCAAAATTTTCCAACCATTTACAGTGGATGCATCATGTCCAATTAGTTTCCTTTTTGAATTATTTGCAACACATACTAAATAATCAATTATTGAGAAAAACATTACCAATAGTTTCCCTTTGAATTATTTTGCCAACACATACAAAACAATTATGAGAAAAACATTACCATGTGAATTTGTCCAAACTTCCATGTGAGCTTTGTCTTGGATACGTGTCTTCTTCTCCTCTTCTATTTTATTTAATTAACTTTAATTATTTTATTTTTTATATTCCAATATTTATAAGATCATTTCTAAGGTGCTTGCTAATCGCCTGAAAATTACTTTTACCTGGTATGATTAGTTCTTAGCAATCGGCTTTTGTTTCGAGTAGGCTTATTTCAGATAATATTTTAATTGCTTTTGAGATAATGCATCATATGAAGCGTAAAACTATTGGTAGGAAAGGTGAGATTGCCCTTAAAATTGATATTAGTAAGGCCTATAATAAGGTGGATCGGGAGTTTCTGAGATTGCTTATGTTAAAGTTGGGTTTTCTAAGGGGTGGTGGAACTTATTATGCTATGTGTTACCACTATTAGATAGCATGTTGCTTTTAATGGGGTGAATATTGGGCTTATTGTTCCTAAGAAGGGACTTTGCCAGGGTGACCCTCCGCTTCCATATCTTTTTATTATGTGTTGAAGCTCTATCTATCTTGTTTAGGAAGGCAGAGTCTGCAAGGCTCATTCATGGTTGTTGGGTTAAATAGGAGAGGGTCTACTGTTTCTCAATTATTATTTGTAGATGACAACTTCTTCTTTTTTTGGGCAACTATTCTAGAGTGTCATACTATTAGGAGGATTTTGGAGGTTCATGAGCAACCTTCTGGGCAGGCTTTTAATATGTAAAAATCTGACATTTTTTTCAGTGCTAATGTTTCTAACACTTTAAGGGAACATGTGTGTGATTTTTTGCAGGTCCATATTGATCTTAATCATGGGAGTTACTTGGGCCTTCCCTCCTCGATTCGTTGTAACAAGAAGCAAATCTTCTCATATCTTAAAGAGAGGTTATGGAAACAGCTTAGTGGGTGGCAGAGTAAGTTCCTTTCAAGGGCAGGTAAAGAAATTTTACTTAAGTCGGTTGCTCAGGCCATAGCAGCATACTGTATGAGTATTTCAGCTACCCGTTACTCTTTGTCAAGAATTAGAATGTATGATGAATTCTTTTTGGTGGGGCTCTAATTCTATGGATAGCTAGGGAATCCATTGGTTGTCTTAGTAAAATATGTGTGGCAGCAAGTCTATGGGTAGTTTTCGCAACCTGTAGTCCTTTAATTTGGCTATGCTTGGCAAGCAGGGTTGGCGTGTGTTTGCTAATCCAAGTACTCTTCTTAGCAGAATTCACAAAGCCAATATTTTCTTCGAGTGAGTTTTTTTTTCATGCTAAGGATGATAATAATTCCAACTTTACATAAAAGAGCCTATTGTGTTCAAGGGAGATCCTGCAGAAGGGAATGCAGTGGAAGGTTGGTAATGGTTCTTCTATCTCTCTCTCTCTCTCTCTTTTTTTTTTTTTTTTTTTCTATCTCTTCTCTCTCTCTCTTTTTTTTTTTTTTTTACAGGTTTTTTTTTTTTTTTTTTACAGACCCATGGTTACTTAGAGATAATAATTTTCATATTTCATCTTTAGTTCCTAGCTCCCATGAAAATTTGAAAGTTTGAGATTTTTTTGATAATTCTCATGGTTGGGCTGTTGCTAAGCTCCAATCTTTTCTTCATCCAAATGAGGTTTAATCTGTCTCATCTATTCCTTTGAGCTATTTGGACATAGAGGATTCCGTTAATTGGCATTACTTGAGGATTGGTTTGTAGACGGTAAAATCTGCTTATTTTATTGCCCTTTCTAGTTCTAATAGTGTTGTGCCTAGTTACTTTGGTGATTGGAATCTTCTATGGAACCCACCGTTACCGTCGAAAATAAAGAACTTTTTATGGAGGGCTATCGCAATTTTATACCTACCAAGTTAAATTTAAAGAAAAGAGATATGGATCTTGATTGCCGTTGCAATGTATGTGGTGATGATGAGGATTTAATGCATATTATTTTTAGATGCCCACATGCCTAGGCTTGTTGGAATAAATGTTCCATGCATTTTAACATTTCTTGTTTCACGTTTGGGCATTGGTTTTTCTATAGCTTGGAAAAGGTTGGTGATAACAAGATGGCTGAGTTGTGTAGTATTGCATATTTTTTATGGCATCTTCGCAATCAGCTTCTCTGGAATCAGAAACTTACGCCACCAGGTAAAATAATGAGCCATGCGATTCGAGAATTGCACAGTTGGAACGAGCTCCAGACGCTGTCTCAGCAGGCTGTAGGGATAGGGTAGGCGAATGGTACGAGTGAAGGCCATAGTTGGGTTCAGCCTCTACCAGGCCGAGTCTCCTGCACGGTTGATGATGCAATTTTTTGGTCTGAGGGTAAAGTTGCTTGTGGCACAGTTGTTAGGCACTCTTCTGGCTAGTTCTTGTGTGTGTTTTCCTAATGGTTCTTCGGGTATTATTCACCTGAAGTGGTTGAAGCTATAGCAGTGAGGGAAGCACTTAGTTGGCTTAAACAAGAACAATTTGTTGGCTCAAGGGTCAAAATGCTTATCTCGGATTTTAATGATTATTACGAAACAAATAAATTTAAATTATATTATTTGTGCTAATTTCATTTTATGCAGAATTTCTTTGGAAAGAAATTATACAAGGCAAGTCCTACATTGAGAGTGAAGATTTCGAAGATCCTAGTTTAATTATACGAAACCAAATAATTTTATTTATTACTTAATGTGGCTGTAATTTCATTTTTATTGCAGAATTTCTTTTGGAAAAGATAATCGCTTAATATTTACAAGGACAAAATTATACAAGGCAAGTCCTACATTGAGAGTGAAGATTTCGAAGATCCTAGTAATCTAGGCATTTAGGAAACTTTGTAGGATAGAGAGAAAGGTTTCATATGAGCACAAAAATCTTTTTCTCTCTCAAAAGTATTTTTCGGAAATTAGATTTTTTCAAAATAAATTCCTTTATTTTATTTTCGAAAATATTTCTTTAAATCGAAAAGATTTATTTTCCTAAAACTAGAGAGATTTCCTTTCTAATGTTTTTGGTAATAAAATCATTCTCTTTTTCGGAAATATTTTTTTTGAAAGATCTAAAGTACTTAAAATTATTTTCTTACCTAAAAATGAAGAGGAATATCTTTCGGTTTTAGTAAGAACATTTTTTCCGCAAATAATTCTTTCCAAAATAAATGCTGTCAAAAATCTTTTCTAAAGGAAAGTGAAAATCGGGTTTTATTCTCTTACCAAAAAGGGATAAACTCTTACCAAAAGGGATAAACAATTTTTAGTTGGTAACAAAGATTTTCACATCTTTCTAAAATAAGGAAAGGAAGATATTTCTTGATCTTCTTTCCAAAAGGTGACAGCTCCTTTCGTTTCCTATATAAAGGATTCATTCACGCCTTGAAATTTTGGGCGAAGTAAGAGTAATTATTTTAAGAGCACTCTCTCTCATTGAACAATCAACGAATCTTTATCTCTCAAAACTTACTCACTACCCCCATTTTCTTTTCATCTCTACACTTAACGTTTTCAATATTTGAAATGAAAAGAATTTTTTTTTTACAATTGCTTTTGAAAAACAATTTTGTGTTCTAATCGATATTCTAATCTGATAAAATTGTTTTTCCTATGCTTATATAAGTGTTTCTTTCTATCTATTTAGAATCTGTATTCTATAGTAGACAGGCTCTTTATTTGTTAAACTTTTGTATGTAATAGCTTAGGTGAGAAGCTATTAAGATAGAGGTTATCAAGCGACATTCTCCATGTGTGGGATAGTAATGTCTTGAATTGAGTTTTCTGTACTCTACCAAAAATAGAAAGGGAAAACAGAAAAGGGTTGAAGGTTTACTAAAACCTTTGGAAAACTCTAGTGCGGACAAAAGGGTAGATCTAAGTGTTGATCTATTTGCCTGATGTACTGTTGGTTGTCTCTTACCCTTGAAAAGAGATAACATAGTTGAGAGATCATCAAGATGCATCTTGCCGGGAGGGCATGTTTAGGCGAATTTAGTGCCTGAACCACTATTAAATCTCCTGTGGTTGATTCTTCTTCTAATTCTGAAGTGTTGCTTGATTTACTATCTTTATTCACTTCTGATTCTAATGTTTGAACGCTAAAACTGTTAATGAATTCAGAGTCGTTCCTAAAACGATAATAACTCCTTTATCTTTTCTGAACGCATTAGGATAAGCTTTATCTTTACTGAACATTAGAACTCTGGTATTCTAATAAAGTGAATATACAATGTTCTAACTGTTGTTCTATTTCCAGTATAATTTACTGATTGGGTTTCAATTTAATTTTCTAAACTTTATGAGGAAGTTCTAATCACGATAGCTTTCCATCATAAAGTTATTCTGATACTTGATTAAGGTTCTGTGAAGAAGTTCTAAATTCAATAACTGTCTTTCACATAACCTTATATGATTTTCTAAATACTTTATGAGGAAGTTCTAATTTCAATAGCTCTCCTTCATAAAGAAGTTCTAATATTGTATAAGTCAGTGTGAAGCTGTTCTAATCAATAGCTGCAGCTGGCATTCGCACAGACTTTCTATCTTTTATAATTAGAACATTGTGAGGATTTCTAATCATATTCTATTCTCACAAAGTTCTGTGGTGTTTTTCCCGCTGTGCTTAAAATTCTTAATTCCTTGTTTAGATTTCTAAAATTTTATTTCAGTTTTAGAAAAACC